AAGTGAGAGTCATCAAAGGTCACCGACCTGTAGTAACAATGACTCAAGCCAAACAACACCAAAATAGTAATAAAAGAAATAACAAAATAAAGAAGACAACTAAGATTAGAACCAGAAGTAGTAATTCTGTTAATGCAACTTAAGTTCCAGTAGGAGAGATCTTAGCAACGCACGTGGAAATTTGAGATTATTATTCTCATCAACGACATAATATATAAACAGTCTTTGACTAAAAGATGTTCAAGCATTCATGCAGTGATGTATTATATCCGATCTGGGCAATAGCTGGTTATCATTGAAAAATTCACGACGTAATAGGATAATTACAGCAACGTCATTTTTTGAAGGACTGATGAAGCTACAGATAACCACGATATTTTTCAGTCATCTTCCTTCGCAACGATGGTCGAGGACCTTTGATGACGCTCACTTTTCTGAATAAATAATTCATTTATTCATTCACAATTTTCTTTTACTGAATTGAACGAAACCAAACTATCTAATGTCATTATTTGGTTGGTGCTAAAAAGTACGTAGGTGTAGGACACAACAAATATCGTTCAAAATTGAAATTTTTTTTATTATAAACTTTGTCATTATAGTTTTAAGTTTAAGAGCAAACGAAAAAAGTCAAGAGCAAATATAAGTAACGTTAAACAAAAACATACACCATTCAAATTGCAATTGGTAGGACAGATTGCGAATAAAAATTTGTTCACAAGCCACTAAACTGAGTTTCCTGTCTTGTCTCTCCGTACCGTAGATTATCTCGCAAAATGATTGAATATTTTTGCTCATCAGATAAAGTTTTGCCTATGGCAACAATAATCTTTTAACTTGCTGTTAATTCCATCTCAATAACGGTGTTTGAATATAATCAGTTGATTGGTAGTTGATGATTATGACACATTTTCTCTTCTTTTTAAAATGGAACTAACATTACTCGACGTCGTCCAACAGGTCATCTTTCATTCATCTCGTCATCAATTATTATACGACTTTTATTCGTTCTGAACAACGTTATTGCAATTTTGCAACAAAAAAGATATTAATTATGTTGTTACAAGTCAAAACACTTTCAAATGAAAAATTTACTGTAGAATGTGAACTTTACGATGTGGTATGTTAGTTATCATTTTAATTTTTAGTGTTATCTCTTTGTCAACGTTCAACTTATTTTTTAGGTTCGAACTATTAAAGAAAAAATTGCGAATCATCAGGATTTCAAAGATAGATATGATGTCGATGCCATGAAATTAATATTTTCGGGAAAAATTCTTGAAGATGCTAAAACGCTTGATTCATATTCAATTAATAAAGATAGTTTTATTGTTGTTGTTAAACAAACAGTTCCAAAAACGGGACAGGTATTTAGTACCGAAGATATAATCTCTTTTCGTTCTTTAATAAGAAAGTTCTTTTCCGTAGTCAACTGGTTCGACTCCTGCTCCAGTTATATCACCACCTAGCGTAAATACTGCAAGTGATCGGTATGAGTGAAAAGACTTTAAAATATAATTTATCGATTGCTATTATTCATTTTTAGTTTTACAGCAACACCAACTCGTACAGTTCCAACAGCAACTAATAATCCGGGTACTGCAGCGGCAACTGCTTCAACGGCAAGTTTATTCACACCGACTCCAGTACCACCCGTCGGTGCATCATCTCAAGATGCATTTACTTCAAATGAAGCACGAGAAAAAGCGATAACAGAATTGACAGAAATGGGTTTTGAACGTGCTAAAGCTGAACAAGCTTTACGTGCAAGTTTTTATCATGTTGAACGAGCTGCTGAATACCTTTTGACTGTAAGTGAAAATATGAAATGTTTCAAGTCTGTGCTAATTATATTTGATTTTTGTTTTAAGGGAAATATACCCGATACACGTGAACCAGTACCACCATCATTACAAACGCAATCTTCTGGTCAAGGACAAGGTGGTCAAGCACGTCGACAACCTAGTTGGTCTTTTTTTAAAAAATCGATCAGATTGTATGACAAATGTACTTTTCTTTCTCTAGATGATGAATTAGCCGATTTGAATTCAAGTCCACAATTTCAAGCGTTGCGTAATTTGATACAGCAAAATCCTGATCAGTTACAAACATTAATGCAAACATTACAACAAACACAGCCAGGTAAGGCACAATAGCTAAGAAAAATTATTGATTACGAACAAATTATAATTATTATTTTTTTGTATTATCTAGAATTATTCCAGGTAACAAAGAACGAATGATGTTAATGTGATTAGTTTTTTTTTAAAAACAGTTTGACTTATTTTAGTTGATTGAACAACGTCCTCAAGAATTTCTTGAATTATTAAATCAAGTTGATCCAGAAGGTGATGATGATTCAGAGCACCATGGTACGGGTGGTGAACCTGGCGGCCCAGGAGCTGGTCCGGTGACGATAACACTTTCACCACAAGATCAAGCTGCAATTAATAGGGTAAGGATATATTCATTTGACATTCGCTTTTTCCTTTTTTGATTTGTAGAGTGTTTTTTTTTGCATGATAGTAGTAGCTGATTATTTGTACAACGTTAGTTTGAAAGAGCACGAGCGAATAAATCACTATTTGCGATCATTATAGATACTCTTTAAGTACTCATATTTTGTGTAGTAATTTGTAGTCGAATGGCTAACGCATTGGACTGGAAATCATAATATCGAAAATGTTCGATTCTACTCATGTACGTACTTTTATTGGCCGGTGACGATAAACTGTTTATCTCTCTGAATATGAATCTGAAGATTTAAACACATGCACTACCATCTGAGGCCATTTTTAACGATGTTCACTTGTTAGAGTTCTGACGTAGTATGTGTGGAAGTTTGTTTGTTTAGAGTTAAAACTTTGAGTTAAGAGAGTTGAAAATGTTTTTTTGTGAACTTAGCTGAAAATGAACGCCCGTCATTCAGTTCACGATTAACTATGTGTGTGGTATAAATCTATCTGTCTATATTTTTTTATTCTTTATCTTTTAGCTACAAGATATGGGTTTCGAACGTAATCGAGTTATTGAAGCATTTCTTGCTTGTGATAGAAATGAAGAAATGGCAGCAAATTATTTATTGAGTGATTTTAATTAAAACACTAAACATATTCACACACACATACAAGATACTGAATCATCGAACAAATAAAAACGGAAGGATTTCTGTTTATTTTTATTTTTACTTAAAGTATTTTGCGTATATATCTCTATATATATGCCAGAAACAATTCTAGCATTGTATCTCTTTTTTTCTTCTTAGTCATTTGTTCTTTGAGTGCAAATAGAACAAAAGACAAAAAAAAATTTAACCATGATAACTAAATAAAGTTGTTTATTTCACTTGAACTTATTCTCTTACCGAAAAACAAAATTAACTCTGCTTATTTGCTGATTTGAATACAAAAAAATCTGTTCTAGCTAGTGTGTGTGTGTGTGAGATACTTAACTCAAAATAATCTGTGTGCTTGAAAAAGTAATTAGCCTTGGACATTTCTTATTTGTTAAACTATTTGTTTTTCTACCATAAATGAAATCAATGCATGTGGTGGTCTTTTTTTTCTTGTTGTATTTCATTCTTTTTTTTTTGTATCATGCCGGTGTTCTGTTTGTTGTTTCGATCATATATGTGTGTGTTTTTTTGTGCAACACCAGTAACATTTTGTTTTCCTAAATATGAACGAAATAATAACAGAACAGGATGAAAATGCACACAGACGCGCGTTACTCCTAGTTTTTAATCTTTTTTTTGTCTTCATCTTTTTTTTTTTTACGAACAATAAAATATACAAATAAGTAAACCATAGGAAAACAGGTTGATTAATTGATCAGGATACAATGGATTTTGCTTGAGAGAAAGATTTGACTCTTGACAATAGTCATGGTAAAAGTTTTTAAAATTAATTTATCAATCAACTAATAGTTCTACTAGTTCTAGCAAGAATTAATAGTGTTCCAAATAAATATACAGATAACTCAGATACTGCTGTACGTTACGTACATCTTTTAGACTCTGAAAGTAGTCAGATGACTTATTTTGCACCAAAATCGGAAGAAGAATACAAAGAATATTTAGACAATTTACTTATTGAATATCAATTTGCTTGCTTCAGTGAAAAACTTGGTGATGGTAAGTGCTTTCTCACCTGTGTTGAGATCAATAAAAATCACCTTTTCTCATTGTTTTTATTTTTTGTTTTTTTTCTTTTCTTGTAGGTTGCTATCGTTTAGCCAATTATCATGAGGCAATCAAAGAAGATTTTATAACGGCTGCCAAAATCTATAAAAAATCTTGTGATGAAATGAAGTATGGACATGGATGCTATCGTTATGGAACATTTGCATTTCTTGGACGAGGTATAGATTTTTCACTTTCTTAGAAATGTGTACGTAAGTAAAACACCATTTTTTGTTTAGGAATGGAAAAAAATGTTAATGAGTCAACTGAATACTATGAACGTTCTTGTCGGTATGGCTATGGTAAAGGTTGTCATAATGCAGCGATTGCCTGTGATAACGGAGAAGGTTGTGAAAAAAATATTGTAAAAGCTATTGAATATTTTACAAAAGGATGTAATTTAAATGTAGTTCAATCATGTCTTAGTTTATGGTCAATGTATTTTCGTGGACGTTCAGATTTACCAAAAAATGGTCAAAAAGCAATTGAATACACATCAAAAGCATGTGATTTACTATCATTTGAAGGTTGTAGTAATGCAGCAACAATGTACCGACGTGGTGATTTAATTGAAAAAAATTTAACTTTAGCAAAACAGTATCAAGATAAGGCAATAGCTGTTAAAAAAGAAGCCGAAACGCCTGGTGTAGTATTCGGTGAACAACATAAAAATGTATAATAATTTACTATTGTTTTTTATACTTTTTAATAAAATTATTAGAATTTATATTTGACAGCATAGATTTTTGCATTCTAAATGGAAAACATTATTTTTTATCAGACTACTTTAATTAAAACTGGAGAATAATCAAAGCTACATAGATAAAAAGTTTTATTTAAGATCAAATTAGGTCTTAAAATACAAACTGTCATTAGAGAATTGTACAAAGTTTCATTTTTGAGCGTTTTTTAGGTTTTTCTGTTATATTGATATTATCATTATCAAAATTATTATTGGTGGTAGTCGTTTTATACGATTGTTTGGAATAATAATTTTCTACTTGTAACTGAAAACGGAAAAATTCAAGAAATGATAATTGATTATCTTCATTATCATCATCATTGTTAATTAATTTTTTATAATCATTTCTTAATAAACTGAGTGTTTCTGGTGAATTTTGTTTACTAAAATCATACAATTTCATGACACTTTTTCCATCATAATCGGCTAATAATTTTTCAAATATCGTTAAATCATTATTTCTACACCACTCGAGAACATGTTTATTTGTCCATAATATTATTGGAATCGTTTGATATGTTTGATCCTCATAATTTATTGATTCACTAATTTCTGCATTAATATTTGATTCACTTATTTCATCATCAGTATGAATTAAAATTTTTGGTTTAATTATTGGATTTCGATCTAATTCATGTATTTTATCTTCATCTTGATCTCTTTCTAATCGATTTTTTGGTTTAATTAATGCATTTCGATGTAGTTCATCTATCGTTTTCTCCTCACTTTGATCTCTTTCAAATCGATTTTTTGGTTTAATTAATGCATTTCGATGTAGTTCATCTATCGTTTTCTCCTCAACTTGATCTCTTTCTAATCGATTTTCTGGTTTAATTATTGAATTTCGATGTAATTCATTTATCATTTTATCTTCATCTTGATCTCTTTCTAATCGATTTTTTGGTTTAATTAATGCATTTCGNAATCGATTTTTTGGTTTAATTAATGCATTTCGATGTAGTTCATCTATCGTTTTCTCCTCAACTTGATCTCTTTCTAATCGATTTTCTGGTTTAATTATTGAATTTCGATGTAATTCATTTATCATTTTATCTTCATCTTGATCTCTTTCTAATCGATTTTTTGGTTTAATTATTGAATTTCGATGTAGTTCATCTATCGTTTTCTCCTCAACTTGATCTCTTTCTAGTTGATTTTCTGGTTTAATTATTGAATTTCGATGTAATTCATTTATCATTTTGTTTTCATCTTGATCTCTTTCTAAACGACTTTTTGGTCTAATATTTTGATATGTATTGTAGCCGGACACGTTAGACATTGAGTCATCATCAATGGTGTTTCTGTAGAAAGCTGTACTATGTTGAAATGTTCTTGTTTCATGCTCAACTTTACTACTATGTGTTGTGTTATGAATTTCAACATTATCTTCATCATCCGAATTCCACATATCATTCTAAAATAAATAAATATAAATATATCATATTTTTCAATTATTATTCACTTACTCTTGAATTTATTTCAACGTTATCTAGAATTATTTTGTTTTGTTTATCATTTACTGATATTATTCCATCTAAACTCTCTAATAAACCCGTTATAATATCTTTCAAATGTTCATCATTGTAAGTCGTCTCATTTAATTGTTGAATTGTTAACATAAATTCTTCATTTTCATTCAATTGTTTTCTAATTTGATCATGAGTCGATAATAACCAAATAATATTATAAGCAACAATTGCCGTTTCACGATATAATGCATTATCTTCATCTAATTCTCCATAATTTTTTGCTATTTGAATAAATAATTCAAGTTTATCTCTAGCATTGGCAATAAATTTACGAACAGATTCATATTTAACTAATTTTAAAAAACCATTTAATAATACAATCATTGGTATACCATGATAATCTGTTGAAGCTAATTCAATATAGTTAATCATTTTTTCTATCATATCTGTAGTAGGATTTTTTGAAATAATTGCTAATAATACGTTTACCATTGTATTAATTTTACCATTTGATGTTGATGTTAATTTTGATAAAGTATTTGTATCTTTTGTTTTTTGATGAACAAGTAAAATGGCATGATCATTATGTTCAACACAATGTAATAATATATAAGAGAGAATTTGATCAATTATTATTGTTTGATCATTTATCCATTTTGCATTTATAAATGAATAATTTTTATCATTTGTTACTATTGTTAATAATGCTAAAAATAATTGTTCTTCTCTTTTATTTTCATCTAGATTAATTAATTGATAATTAATTAAATAACTAATAATACCTTTTATACAATAGAAACCATGATTATTTTGATTTTTTGAATAATTAATTATAATATCATAATAAATTTGTAAATAACGATCAAGTATTAATTTTCCATTATTTATTTCAGATGATAAATGAATACCCATTGAAAATGTACATGTTCCAATATAAAATTCATGTTTTGATGTTAAACTTTTTAAATTTGTTATTTTTGCTTCTTCTAAACATTGTTCATATTCGTCGGATGATAATATACTTTTTATTTCATCGTTTAATAATAAAAATTTATTTTCCGTTTTAGAAACGTCTAGATATTACGTCATTAATTTTTTTTTTTCTTTTTCTACTCCTATTCTCTCTAAAATAAGGATGCAAAATTAAATGAGATTGAAAAAAAGAGATATTTGAGTTTGGTGTGTTTAATTGGCTTTAAAATAAGCAAAAATGAGTACGGTAATTAATCGATATCTGAAAAACTCGGTTGATTTTATTATGTTGAGAGACATTATGTATTTTTGCTAGACATTTGTGTTTTTTAGATGGTCATCGTTTTTTGCGAAATGTGTACGACATGATCTAGAGAATTACGCTATGTAGAAAAAGTTTGAGAATGGAAGGTGGTTCTCTGAGTACTAAAGATTGATCATTGCGCGTTCTTTGACTCTGCGTCGGCAAAAAAACAGAAAAATGAGCTCAGTAATTAATTTCTGAAAATTAATTAATGATTTGTCAGTAGCAAAGTATATTTAGTAAGAAAAAAATAATACAAGAACAAAATCAATGGTAATAAATTGTATGATATAAGTCAAAAGGAGACTTTCGAACGTCTAGATTCTATTAATTTGACTGTCGAACGTCTCATTTTGAACTAGCAATACAGACACACTTCTCAGTTGATAATCGATTGTGTGAGTGACTTTAATGAGAAAAACAAGAGATGGTGAATCAACTGTTCATTGCATTTTATTCTTAATCCCCTCTTCCCTTCACATCATATGATCTGTTATTCTCTTGTCCTTGATATCATACGATTTAGTTCATTCTTTGTTTCGAAATACAATAGACAGGAGAAACAAAATTCTACTTTCTTTTTATTGTTATAGACTTTTTTTTCTTCTTCTTTTTCTTCAACCTATTTTATGCACCTGTATAACACGCTGTAATGGCCTTCAGGCCGATTGCATGTCTTATGAATTATTTTATAAATAAAAGTTTAAACTAAAATAAGTGCTAGATTACAATAGTTTTTCACTAATATTCAGACTTTTGTTACAGCTAATTTAACTTTCATTGGACGACCTTTTTCCCTTCTTATCCCAAGTGGTTGTAGAACTTTACGATGATCCCACATCATTATTACATCCAATGAATGAATGCAAGAATATTCTTTAAGGCCATATTTACATGAACAAAATAATGGTGGTGTTAAACGAGAAAAATTAACTAAACAAGCCGAATTTAACTAGTCGATAAACTTCATCGCAAGAATTCCAAGACATACTATAATAATGTTGTATCCGTAATGTTGTATTTTTTGGTTTAGAAGAAGGTACAATATAACTAGCGGCATTTAAATGTAACACTTTTGTTCGATCAAGTTTTTGTACCCTAGACAAAAATAAAATGAACCGAGCTCCTTTGTATCTTTTCAGAGTATCAATTAATTACCAATTGATCATTCCTCTCATTTTAAAACCAATTAAACACATCGAGCTCATTTAATATTTTATCCCTAAAATAATCAGTCGTAATTATTTGACTTCCTCCCTTTTCTCCGATTACATAATTCAATCCAAAAAAAGGGGCTTTTTCCTTTTTTTGTTCTTGTTTCTTAACAGCCTTTTTCAAACAGAAAAAGTTCGAATATTTATATATTTTAGTTATTGTAAACTCATTGCTTGTGTCTTTTTCAACTATAACTGTATATCTTGACATTTTATACGTTGTCTATTTTTCATTATCTTTGTTGTCTTGGAAAGAGAAAAATAAGAACAGCAGCAACACGAAAAAATCTATTTACAGATAAAGATAACCACTAGATTTGTTCCACTATACAATATTACAAAAGCATCAACAAAACGACGATTCTATGACGTATTTAAAATCTCCCAATAAATATCGAAAAAATCTTATAACACATTAAAAAAAAGAGAACAACGATCTCGATTCTCCAATGTTTCTTGCCTAATTTAATACAAATAATTTCCTTAGGTGATTCATCATATAAATAAACAAATCTTATCATTGATTAAGTATCATCATTTTAAATTTTTAAGGAGAAAATGTGTTTTGATCACCAAATTTCTTTCTCTTGAAATGATCACCAAAAAAATACACTTTTGATCATCATATCAATTAAAGAAAATTTGAATAGATATTTAAAAGAGAACGGAATTTGTATGTAACGGAGAACGATTCGATATTTAAACTAAAATTTGACATTAAAAGAGAAGGGAAATAAAAAGTAAGAAAACAGAACGGTTTTTTCATTGAAACGGGAACGATTTTTAATTTTAGCCAAAAACGACCGAAAAGAGTTGAAATTTTCTGAAATTTTCTTGTCAACGGTTACATTTTTTTGAACTTTGTATTGAACATGTATTAAGTTAGTGACAAAACTCGTTGTGAACCATAAGGTAAGAGAAAAGGTAAAGATCGATCAAAAAATGTTCGAACAACTTTGTTGCTATAAATTTGTTCCTTATTTTCTTTTGTTCAGTTGTATATTAATAAATTAAACTTTCATACATATTTATTTTTCTTGTCTGTCTACTCATTAATTGGTAATCGTTGCTAATTAATTGCTATATATTCTTCTTATAATTATATTTTTTTTAATTTAAATTTTCTTTAATTGATTTGTTGATCAAAAGTGTTATGTTTTAGTAATCATTTTGATAGAAAGAAATTTGATGATCAAAACAATCGTTTTTGGTGATCAAAAAAATACATATCCAATTTTTAATGATTACGTAATATATGAACATTTTCTTTACGATTAAAATGACCATGTTCAAAATGTGATATAGCATCGAATATAAAACGAATATTTTCTAAAAATTTTTCATCAATATCATTGATAGTATTTAAAATATCAATGAGTATATTAAATATATCATCATTATCACCAAAAAATATTAATATTTTAACAAGTTCAACATCCGGTTTAATTTGTAATGTTAAAGCTATTTTAATATTTAATAAACCAACATTTTTTAAAAAATCTAATTGTTCATTATCTAAATCAATTTTTTCATAATACCATTTTTTTAATAAACATCCACCAACATATTCAATTAGATGTAATGGTACACGATTTAAAATATTTAAAAAAACAGTATCAGATGATAAACTTAAACATGAATGATTAACATCATTTAATTGTTTTAAAATTGTATGATCAAATGATGATTTTGATCGTAATTCAGTATAACTATTTTCAATAGCCGTCAATTGATCGACTAATCCAGCGGGCATTTATACACAGTATTACTACTATTCCGTTTTTTTTTTGACTTTATTTAATTAAACAAGTCACACAAACAGAAGAACGTAAGTTAGTCAAATTCTTATCAAAAGTAAATAGTACAATGATAGGAATGAAAGAAAAAAAAATGGTTTATACTATTAAATATACGCATTTTTTACCCATAGAGTAAATGAAATTTTTATTCCCACTAAATAAACTTGTTTGATCTATTATAAGTTCTTGTCTATAAATAAATTCCAGTATATGTAAGATATTAGTTAAACAATTTTTTGATTGTCGGAAAAAAATATTGCATCTACTTCATCAAGTAAAAAAATGTAATATTTTAATAATGTTTTGTAGAAATGAATTTTTCACTTACTTTTTTCTTAATTTATCAACTTACTCCAACTAATAATATATTACGATTTGTTCTACATTTGAATATCATTTCATCTTCATTATAAAAAGAAAAGTAAATGTTTTCTTCAACAAAAACAAATCCAATATAAATGGTATGTTTTTATTATTATGTTAGAATTATTTAATTTTTATTTTTGTATACTGATACTAGTCTACGTCTTCGTTTAATATGTTTACTCAAAACAAGCTAGTTTAAAAATATTTGAACAAAAAAAAGAACAAAATTGGTACCATTGACCATTATGTTTCACCGTTGATATGACTGGAATAAATGTCAAAAGTTACTGGAATAAATATCAAAATGTTTAAAAAACAATACTGGAAACTAGACATGCTATTCTAATGTTCACAACGTAAATAGAAGAAAAGTTTGCGAAAAAAAAAGAAAGAAAATAAATTTGTTATGAAAAAGCAAATGGGTGAAAAATGTATCACAAAATTCAAGACATGGACAAAAAAACCAAACAACATAACAAAACATATATCGGAATGAAAAAGTGATTGGAATAGAAAAACCGGACGAAATAGAAAAACTAATGTGTACTATTATCTAAAAGATCTTTTTCTCTTGAATGTTGTTTTGCTGAAAACTGAATAATTTCGTCATCATCTACTTCATTAGCATCTAAACTTTCGCTTGATGATTTAAAACCAATAAATTTCTTTGTTGATGCCGGTCTTGCTAATGTAATTGGTATATGATGTTTATCAGCATCTTCATCTTCGTCATCATCCGGAGACGAAGGTGCAGGTGTAGTTGATCGTGACGGCTGCTGAGATACTTGAGTTGAGAATGGTGCTAACAATTGTTCAAGTTCAAATGTCTAGAATAACAGCATAAAGTTATTAAAAAACAGTACTCTAATTAAATAAAAAATAACTTTTTCTAGACAAAATCGAAGTTTATACATTTAAATTATTGATGAAATTTGATTTGTCTTCAAGAATGTTAACTTACTATTCGATTTAGTTCTTCATCAAATTCGGGATGTATTCGTTTTAATGCTAATTGACGTGCTTTATGATAATACTAAAACAAAAAATACATCAGACTAGATTTATAAGTGCATATTTGAAATGGTTGTCACGGTAGAATACTCTGTCTTTAAGAAAATTTTCTTATAATTTAAACATGACAGCGTCAAACGTATGTGTATATTAGTTTAATTGGAGAACTCACAATTCCAAGAGTATTCCAATCGAGTAATTCACTGAGACGTTCCGTACGATTCCTTAATAATATTCTTTGGCGTCTGGTTATTTGGGAAAAACTGAACATATACTAAAATATAAGAAAAAAGTATGAGAGATATTATTAGAAAATGAGAAAAATTTCTATTTATTACCTCTGCTAATTGATGACAAGACTCTTCTGCACTTTTATATCGTCGATCGACGATATAAATGCCGTAATCTTGTGAGTCGACCAGATGTTCTTCCATAAAACAACCGAAACCGGATAGATTTGTTGTTATACTTGGAACGCCCATTACTGTGCATTCGGCCGGTGTATAACCCCAAGGTTCATAATAAGACGGAAATACACCCAAATGACAACCACGAACAAATTCTTCATAATCGAGCGGTAATAATGGACTTGTACTGCGTAAAAATTCTGGATGAAATATAACTTTAACACGATCACTTCGATAATTGAATAACTGACATCGACGTAAATTGCATAAAATTGGATCAATTCCATCATCAACAACGTTATGTGTACAAATTGGAGGTAATGATGAACGCTTTATATACAATAGAATCAATATGAATTAAATTTTTTTATTTATGATTAGAATAGCGTACCTGTGTTGCGTAAATACTTTTTCGTAAGTCGATCATATCTGAACTGTGAAAAATTTGATCGGAACTCGGTATGGATCCGCTAAACAAAAAATACATTTAAAAAAATATTTTAATACTAATTCCTTTAAAACACACATACCGAAGACAAACTTCATATAATCGTTTGCCAATTTCACTCTGAACACTTTGTACAGAGTCTCGTAACATTTTTGCAACAGACTGACCACGTAATGATTCAATATTGTAATTATTGGTAGCTGTTGGAAAGATAAGAAATGCTACAACGGTCACATCTGAATTGATTGACTAACAGATCAAATAAAAGAAGAAAGAATGTTCAAAATGTTCTTACTCAAGAAAAAATAGCTTCACTTACTTTTAACATATGATTAAGTCGTGCCAATGCTTCAATAAACATATCGGCTCCTTTATTCGAAAATTCGTAACGACCAGCAATAAAAAAATACAATGTTTTGTCCAAATCAAAGTCATAATGGCTAGAAAAAGAGTATAATCATCTAGTTACAGTCATTTTTGATTGCAATTTTTTCCTCATTCTTCTAACATTTGTTTATAGATAGTCTTTTGTCGAAGCAATTTACCCATAAAAATGTCCACGAACGAATGCATGAAGTTTTTCTTTATTTTGTGCATGGAGATTTTGAAATTCATGTAATGCAGCAAATTCTTTTACATTTAAACCATTCGGAGTTAAAACATCTAAAAAATAGAACATATACATACATTAATAAAAAGATCCGTCTACTGCAGGTAAAGTCTTACCTGGTCTTTTATGCAATAAATGTTCGGCTTCAATTCCAGTTATCTTTGAAACAGTAGTGAATACATGAGCACACGAAGCAGCGGCACGTTCAAGACAATAACGATGATATATTTGACGATTACCAGCTTCCATATCTAGATTAAACTAAAATGTAAAGGGGATATTAGAACCTAGTTACGATAAGTGTATCGTGACTGCAAGCAGAGACCATTAATTTGATTCTGCTGTTCTTTTGAAAAATATCAGTTTAATTAAGAGTGGCTAACGCCATTATTCTTCGCTTACTTACTGATGATAATCTGTTATAAAAATCCGTTGAACCAGCACACAAATATCGTCCTAGTAATGTAGCATGGGTTGTAAATACGAGAGCGCAATCATATCCTCTCATTCGTGCCATAACCAATCCCACACCCGATAACCATTCATGAAAATGAGCCGTTACATATCGAAGTTCATCATGTTTCAGTTGTTCAATGAACTAAGGTAAAAAAGAAAAATATAGTAGAACTGAGTGCGAGATAATCAGGGAATACTGACTGTTCCAATAAACCAAAATACACAAAATCCAAAAATAAGAGCGTCATTTGCTTCTTTATCGTGATATGGTATACCAATACGTGAGTATTCAAAGAAATCTCCTTTCCACTCGTCGAGACGATGAGCCGCCGATCCAATATCAAATAAAATAACTTGTGGATACCCTTCAATAAGCCAGTATCCTTGTATGACCTTAATATAAAATTATAAGCATATGCAATACCCTACTGCCGTAAGTTGTGTACATACATTTATACCATGACTCTGCATACTTTGAACAGTCTCACGTACGGGACGAAGAGACGATTCACGAATTTCTACTTCTTGTTTAACGAATGATTCATTATACGGACCCAACAGTAAATAATTGGGTCCATATTCTTTCTTTGTTATCGGAACTTTACTTTTGATCACCTGATGAATACCACCCACTAAAAAATACAGACACAGATTGCTTTATGATAACGCACTGATGAAAGCGATTGTACTCAACCTTTATTCGCCACTTCCCAAGACACTTCTAATAACCATTTTCCTAATCTTTCCGCTTTATCACCTTCGTCCAAATATGTTTCAAACTGGATACCTTCAAATGTTTTCAGAGATTTTGCCGCACGTTTGATTCGGGCTAGAGCCATAAATACTCATCAATTTATTATATACTAAAACTCAAAAGAAGAAATGAAGTAAACAAGAAACATCATCGAAAATAAAAATAAAAGGAATGCTCATAAAACGCTGTTAAATACAATAGGATAAAAAACAAAGACTCAGAAAGTGAGACAAAAAGAACAGTGAATTAAATAGTTACCGTTTACGCATGTGTCTACCATAACACAATACTCTTGGGTATTGTTTTTCGACGACTGGTTAGTCTGAAAAAATTCACTAAATAAAGTTTGTAAATGTAGTCGGAAGAGGGCGCAAGACACCAAGCATGAAATCAATAGAAAAAACCTTGTAGAGTTCTGTATGCGAACGGATTGTCGTCTATCTGGATCTAAGGACAGTCTTTGAAAATGACAATTTCACTCACATACAGAAATAGCCTAGATAATATAGGAAAGCCAGATCCTAGATAAGTTGACGTGTTTCTTTAAACAAATCTGATGCCAGGTCACCAAAAACTGACTGCATAGCCTGTTAACTGCGTAATGAAAAAATTAACTTTTAATCGACTAAAACTTGTTATAAAACAGCTGGTTAACTGTTACTGTTTTTTGATATCAGGAAAAACCCAGCATTTAGTGTTGACAGTTAATTGTTAGTATGTAACCATTTGCCAACAAACCATTCACCCTATTGTTTCGCTATTATGCTTAATATAAATTTACCTTTGATTCTTTTTAAAAGCATAGAATTTTTCTTTTTGTCGCTTATACAAGGCATCGAAACTAGTCGTCTCGAGGAGGTAGTCTTTAGTTCTGATGGTATACTAGTGATGGTATCACGGTCTAAAAAAACCAAAAATATTGAAATTTGTGAATTCAGCCCTGGAGATTCAAGGTTATGAACGAATTGTGTAAATTTTCTGCAAAATTTCTATGAAGATTGCATAAGGTTTTTACAGAAACCTTACAAAAAAATTATATATACCCCAGAAGTCTTAAATGTGTACTATAGTGATAAGATTCGTACAGAGTACAATGTAAGAAAACTATACGATTCTTAAAGAATTTCATTAGTTTCTTTCATGAGATCATCGAAAGGCGTTTTCTCGAAAGGTATATTATAGTATTCTTATGATTTGAACAAAATATCTGATAGATAAATCGTTTCATTTTTTGATATACGGTGAATACATTTTAAACAGAATAATAGAGTTATAAACGCCGATTTAAACACTGTTTATTAAAGACGTTTCGTGAAACACTTTTTGCATCATCAGTCAAAATGTACAATAAGCAAAACAAGTTTAAACTAACTGTAGTAAGAATACAACAACGTATGACAGAACGCAAAAGTAAAATAAATTTATTTTACTAATTTACTTAATCCAAGTATTAAAAAGGTATTCATTTCAATGCCATGTTATGGTGAATGTTCATTGATTCTAGCAAATAAGATTAAGAAAATATTAGACCATCCTCTGAAACAAATGGTCTGTGGCTTCGCTGCTAGAACACGTATCTCAACGTTATTTAGTAGAACATTTCGTGGACAAAAGGATATGAAAAAGGCGATCTGTCAATATGATCGTAAAAATTGTAACGGCACCTATATTGGACAAACTGCCCGTGGTGTAGATATAAGAAAAGACGAACACAGAAAAACTTTTCAAGGACGAGGGTATTCAAGAATAGCTGAACATTGTATGAATTTGAATCATGAAAACAACTAGACTAATATTATTATTACAGCTGAATCAAATTATACAAAAAGAACAATAAAAGAAAGTTTACTCATAGACCTGATTCGATTAAAAAAAGGCAAAGACGTTTATCCACAAACGAGCTTTATTTTGACTGTTTTTTTATCAACGTTAAAAGACACACATTTACAGAGGGAAAAGAAAATTTATTTTACTTTTGCATTCTGTCACACGTTGTTTTATTCTTACTACAGTTAGTTTAAACTTGTTTTGCTTATTGTACATTTTGACTGATGATGTGAAAAGTGTTTCACGAAACGTCTCTAATAAACAATGTTTAAATCGGTGTCTATAACTCTATTAGGTGACTGATACCAGTAATGGTATTGGATATACGGGGAGATACCACTATGCATTACTGTTCTAGAAGAGACGCTTTTCCCCGTATATCTTGTAATATACCACGGTTTTTTCTTCGAGAATATGATGCATTCAGATCACTGAAAATCGTGCAAGTTCTGTTTTTGATATTATTCTTTTCAAAACTCACAAAGTAATCCCAACTTAGAATGTCATTGGTAAAAAATGGGTTCCACCTAACGTAACAATCAAAATGCATAAGATAGTAAAATGATAAGACGACCACTGATCCGCTCTTGATTCCAATCCATTGAGTTAAGTCTTGAAAAAGAGATCAAAAGAACATTGACAGTCATCTAATTTACTAAAAGGACAAAATATTTGTCTTAAGGTACTAATAGAGTGCGACGCTGTTAAAGAAATAAATAATAAGTTTTAAATCTAAAACAAACAACCACAGTACATAATTACACGAAGATTTGGAGCGGCTTAACCACGCCATACTTCTATCTAAATTCCAAAAATTTTTTTAATAAACAGCTTTAATATTACGTTTCTGACAGAAAATTTCAAACAAAGAGTAGAATTTGCGATGAGTTCCGCGAGCGGCAGAAGTTTTTTTGAAAAGTCATGAACAGAAAGAAAGACAGTCAATGTGAAAATTCTCCCTTCTCGAAAATTCGCATTCCGAAAATAGATAAATCATACTCACAAATTTTATCAAATTTAAATCTAACCTCTTTTTTTCTCAGCTTCATGAAATATTCACTTTCTTACTTGCAATCATACATCAACTATTTTCTTAAAGAAGATTTTTGTCTGTTAACGTACCTGCACACAGAAATTCTCGAGAGTAACGATGAATAACTGTGAATGGTCTGCTATAGTCTACATTGAAAATAAAAAGATGTTATAGCACGGTATATATTCTGTATATTCTCCCTTCAGATGTAAGAAAGAGAACGAAACAAAACTGTACCTGCACGTGCAGGCTATTTTAGAGTTATCACGTGTGCACATGACATAGATATTCGTTGAATGAAAAAGTTGCACTTTCTATCTGACCACCACTGCTATTCATCTCACGCAGCACACATATTAGTTAGTCCTCTTTTTTTTGTAAACTTGAGTCATATCAGGAGAAAACATTATTTTTTTGAAAAAAACCAGCGCTTATAGTGATTAGTGCAAATTCTTTGACACAAAAGGAGTGGCTCATTTTCTAGTAAAAGTGACGGTCGTCGAATAAAACTCGTTTTTCTTTATCTTAAAAAGAGAATTTTTATTAGGGTGAGAAACGCATAACACATCTTCAGGTCAACTAACTAAAGAAAAAGATCGTTTCAACGATAACGACACAGAATTATTTATGGAGCATTTTTAATTAGTTTCATTAACTCCAAATATCATATTTTCTCAGTTTGATCGGAAGCATAAGTCTACTGAGACTAAACCAAATTTTTATTATCAATAATTTTGAAGAAAGCGTTGAGAGATGGAAAATAAAGTTATCGCTTTATTTTGTGAATCAATGTTTTTAGAAAAACAATCGTCTCATAAAAAGGGAAACGAAATATCTCTTTTATGAGCTTACTCTTCAGAAGCAATTGACGAGCACACATTTTTTAATGTTTGTGGTAAAAACCATCATAACAAACTGAAAACACTAGTAGCCAATCGCAATTGATCTGAGAATTTCTCTTTGTTTATAGACAGGCATTAAATGTTCAAACTTCACATAGATAATATTTGGTAATATAAGTTCAGTACAGGAATCCTATACAAAAAACTATCTAGCAAAGCTTACTGAAATCTTCTAAGAATCTTATAATTTTCTTACATCGTACTCTATACGAATCTTATCACCATAATACACATTTAAGGCTTCTGGGGTCGTATTACGAAAAAAGTTAAGTCGGTGACTTAACTTTTTTCGTAATACGCCCTCCTGTCGAATATAATTTTTTTATAAGATTTCTATTGTATCTAGGCATGCACCGAAAATGTTGCACAAGTTCTTGAAAATACGTTTGACACAATATCAAGGAAGTATCTGTTGTTCAATCAACAACTGTTCATCCCGGAAGAAAGATGCACGGTGTACAAAATCAGAAATAAGCCAAATAAGTGGTATTTCTGACTTTTCACCATGAAGGAAGA